CCCCAAAACCCCAAAACCCCAAAACCCCAAAACCCCTTTTCAATTTGAAAATATTGAAAGCGGATACATGTGTATTATTAGGTGTTTCTATATTTATAGTTTTTAAAGACTACTTTTATCATACTTAAGCCATTATCCTCAATTAACAAAATCAATGTCAACAGCTCAGGGCGAAGCATCTAAGTTGATTACCAAAGACTCCGAAGAGTACAACTCCTTCATCAAATTTGTTGACTTCAACTGAAAGAATCCTTCAGACAGAATCCTATGAACCGACCAATGGGCATTCATTACACAAGAACAATACGATAAGCTAAAGGGAAGCAAGCCAAAGATTACCTGCTCGAAGCAATACAAGGACGAAAATGCATTCCTCGAACTTGCCAAGAAGAATAAGAAGTACACAGAAGTTGGAGGAATTAGATACTACCACCGTTTCTTAGACTATGATGAGTCAGAATTCTCAAAAGAACCAAAGGTATTTAGAAAATTATCTGACCTCTTTAGATGAAGAAACTGCCTGATTATATGAAACAATATTCTGACAAAAATGCAAAGAAAGATGACCAAGAGGAGAGTAAAGAAGCTTCATCCAACAAAGCCAGTTCTAAAAAATGAAATCTTTCAAAATCAGATGACTCGTCAACCCCAAAAGCAGCTCCTTTCAAAAGATCTGCGAAAGTCTTTGATGACGAAGTGTACACCATCATCGGATCCCTAGAAACTGCAAAGATTAATTACATCAAAGGAGAAGTAAGCTCCCTCAAGAATCAAATGTTTGGAACTGAGAAACAACTAGAGGCTGTCCACAACGTCTTATTCCAGTCCTTATCCAAACTCGGCCTCATCGGAATGATGGAAGAGTCACCCCTCCAGAATGAGATTAATGATCTGTGATATTCAAACGAAGCAATGGACAGGCTAAGACAGAAGACAATGCAAAAACTCTCAGTCTCAAAGATTATTGATGAACTCAAAGGGAAAGAAACTATCGAGCAGAGCTCTCAACTAAATAGCGATGAAGATGCAGATATGAAAGATTACGAACTCTTCCAGAACGATGAAAAATCAGGCACTGACTCCATTCACAAGCTGATAATTGCTGAAGAAAAGAAAAGAGCAAGAGCATGCCAATAGGCCAAAAGAATTAATTATATTCAAAACTTTCTTTCCAGAATTATTTCAATATGTTTAGATTCGTAGATATTAATTCAAATCGAACACAGCTCATCATTCAATTTTCAATTTTGAGAGAGAAAAGAGGGGTTTTGGGGTTTTGGGGTTTTGGGGTTTTGGGG